GAGCCTCCGGAGCCCGCGGCAGCTCCGGCCTTTCCTCTGCGAGCACGTGTCCGAGCTTGGCGTCGAGCGGGTGTGGTTTCCGTGACAGCCACGAGGGGGCAGGTCCGGGCCCGGTGCCAGGAGCACAGGCCGGTTCCTTCCTGAGGCCTGGACCTGGGCCGCCCTGAGAGCCAGCGTGGCCCCAATAGCCTTTTTAATGTGCTCCCATCCTCTGAGAAGTTTTAAAAAAGTTGTGACACTTTATAAAATTAACATCTTGTGAAATCCCACTGTGTACAACGTGGGCTCCTTCAGCTTCTCCAAAATGGAAGGATCAGGATTTTGCCCCCGGACTAGCTTTTTATCCCTCCTTGGACAGCATGGTGAAAAGGGTGTACAGGGTTTAGAAATTCGCCAACCCGCTCCGAATTTTAATCCCTTCCCTACTTAATGGCTTCGGGCAATTAGCCTTTCTGAGCTGCATGGGTAAAATAAGGATGATAACCACATCCTGCAGGGTCTCCTGTATTTTCCAAACTCGAATGTTAAACCCCTGCAGTGTAACTTCTCTAACATCTGCTGAAACAAGTTATTTCAAGCTTCACTAATGACCTGTCATTGTTACCCAGGGCGGGTCTGCCTGGCCTAAGGGCAGGGTGTGGGTTCTTGACTTCGTGTAGGATTTCACAACAGGAGTGTAGGTGATTTTGAGAGCATGTTTATTAAAGCTGGAGACAGTGAAACAAAGAAAGGGCTTAGGTAGGGGAAGCCACAGGAGACAGTCAGGGAAGGGGGCCTTGGAGATGGGTTCAGGTCCAGCTGCTACCCTGGTTGCAAGGCTCCTGGGTCCTTTAGAATTTAGGAGGTGCATGCCTTTTGTAGGAAATAGGCCTCTGTGATCCATCTCCAGCTTAGGCAACTTTTAATGAAATCGGCTACTGAATTTCCCCAGGGTGAACAGAATGGAGGGAGGGACAGAGATATAAGAACAAAGAACTGTAGATGTGAGTCAGCATCATGGTAGAAACAAACCCTCCCACGCTCCCAGGTGCCCGCCCCAACTATACAGGGGAGGGGGGGCGGGGCGGTGAAGACAACTAGAAAAGGCCTCAGCCCATTTTTTTCAATGGCCCAATGGGAGACAATAAGCCCTGGGCGACCTATGAGGAAACTATAAATCCATAGTACTCAACCAATGAGGAACCAGAGGAGGGACTTGTACTTTGGCTACTCCATGTGTGCCTGTACAACCAGAGGCCCCCTCTCGAGCTTGAATTTAAAGTCTCGTTTTCGCCATACTTCTGTCTCCAAATCCATTTTTTGAATTCAGACAGGTGAGCATTGCTCACACTGCGGGGGAAGAAGTACGGGAAGGGAAAGATGTGGGTGTGCTCTAGGGAGAAAGCTTGCGCTGGATCCTTTTTATCTTCCTTCGGCAGGAGAAATCCTAGGGAGGTGTCTGGGGAAGGTCTTAACAGAATACTCATTAGTGTTTCAGACATGTCTTTCAATATGTTGATTTATCAGAATGTAAAGGGGCCATCTGATTAGTTTTCTTTTTGAAGAACATTATTAAAGAGGGGCTGGGACTGAGGCTGGTCTGCCCTGGGACAGTCTGAAATGTGTAAACCATTTGCTACTAAGTGTTCTTGTGATTTATTAGCTGACTCTAAACTGCTCAAATTGTTTAATTATTTTGTCTCAGTTTCCCTTATTCCACTCGTCAAGGAATTTCCCTAGTTTCTTACTATCCTGCCTCATAATCCAATGATCTGTTCTACTACTTAGGTCTCTGTACTAGAAGGAAACAAAATACTTGTGTGAGGGATTCTCTCGTAGAGCAAACTCTAGCCAGACCTCCCCGAGTCCTTTCTCCACTAGGCCTTACGTTAGCCTATAAAGACTTGAACAAACACTACCATTTCCTAACAGCTCCATCCCTAGGGTCACCCTGCCCACACCCTTAAAATATCTGCCTGGGAACGCTCAGAATTTATCTTTCATTCCAGGCAACACCTGAAGGTAGGGTCTCTGTCTCCCAGCCTTAGTCGGAGGGTAGGAGCCTAACTTCCATCAGTTCGTTAACAAACCCAGATGTGTTTCATGTGAACCAAATCCTCCTTCCTGCTTTCTGTAATTTTCAACTTTCCTAACCCTATGAGCACCCACTCACCTCCTCCCTGTTTTCTCATTCCCCTAAACTGCCCAGTTGCCTCTAAAAATTAAAGTGAGTTGAGTTTAAGCAGGACTGTTTTTCCTACTGCAGAATATTACTGATTAAAATCTCTCCTGACCACTTTAATAATCAGTGTCTCTCTCTCTCTCTCTCTCTCTCTCTCTCTCTCTCTCTCTCTCTCTCTCACACACACACACACACACACACACACACACACACACACACACACGGTTTGCATGGGTCGGCTCCACTTGAGGTCATCCGGGAAAGCTCCAGATTATCAGAAGGCTCTCTCACTTGCAAGTTTGGCATTTGGTGCTGGCTGTCGGCTGACTTCAGGTGAAGCTATCAGCTCCAACATCCATGGGCCTTCTCCATGTGGCCTGGGCTTTCTCACAACATGGCAGCTGGCTGCCAAGTCATGTCTTTGGAAGTGACACAGCGTCACTTCCAGTGCACTGTATTGATATAGGCAGGCACGAAGGCCTGCTCAGTTCAAGAGGAAAGGGAAATAGGCTCCAACTCTAGTGGGAGTGTGGCAAGGTTCTGAAAGAGCATATGGGACACAAATACTGCTCTGACCACTTTTGGAAAATGAAATCTGCCATAGTCTTCATCTCATGTCCTATGACTTCATTCCTACCTCATTCTACTTTGTATTAGTCATTTTCATACTTGTCTAATCTCCACTACACCATACATTTCTAGTTGGCAGGAGGATCTACCTAATTTTTGGTATCATCTACAGTAACCTGCGAATGGTTGACTTAAATACAGTTTTGGCACTAATTCCATGAATATAACTTCCTTTCAGTAGGCTGCACTAAATGGAAAGTCTAATTGACAGAAGGAAAAGAGGAGCCCACACCTCTCCTTACTGTCTATTTCTGGGACAACTCCATGTTTCAAGTAAGCCTGGGAATAAGCTTTGACACTCTAAATAACTTTATTAGTTACCCTTCCAACATTCTTCAGTCTTTCCACTACTACATGCTACTCATGACTTTTTCTGTATAATCACAGATGCCACCTAATCTACATCTATTAGGAATATCACCCTTCCTTGACCCTCCTACATCCAACAAAAATATTTCTTTCTCTACAAGTAAATGCTTTGTCTTCTCAAATAGATTGTTAGTCCATTGAGGACAGAGGGGAACCCATTTATTTTCCACTCCCATGTGTTTTTAATGTCCATGCATTAAGAACTATGCCATATATGCAATAGGTGTCCAATAAACTATTCACTGAAGAAATACTTACTATGAATGAGAAAAGTATGTAATTTAATACTTTTATTCAATTATGGATGGTTTTCCATATGAGTCAGAGAAGACACAGGGAAACAACATGAAAACAATACACTTACTTTTATTAAAAATTTTTAAAAAATTAACTGATTTTATAATTGGCAGTAGGGGAATAACAGTCTGCTTTAGATTGTGCTTTTTCAGATTTAAATACAAACATGACAATGAATTGCTACATCCATAGAGTAATTTAGGAGTTGTTTGTGTAATAATATACATATTGAGGAATTAAACATTTTATCCAAATTTCTCGAAAGTATAATAGTTTTAGCCTGAACCCTATAAGAAGCTGAAGATGAAAACCAAATATCCTGGTACATCAAAGAAAAATGTAGGTAAAGCTTTTGGAACCTCAAGACTTGAATGTCTTCACTCTTAAATCTGTGACTTCCTATGTAAATCCCTAATTTCTTTAAACCATATTTCCTCAATTTTGTGAAAGGGATATTGTTTCTATTGTCAGTCAAGAAGTTTTTAAAAATAATAAAACTTTAAAAGTAACACAGTAGAACTCAAAAAGGCTCTGTTTTAAAATATAGCATGCTTCCTTATAGTATAGTATATGTATGGAAAACATAGAAAAATGTAACCAAATGGTCTTATAAGGAATAAAATTTTATTTTAAAAAGAATAATGTGTCATTCTATTCACTGAATACCCAATTTGAGCTGTATCTTCATTGACTGAAATTTAGCATTGATAGATATAAATGAGATACAAAAATCATATTATCAAAATTTAAAAAGGAATAAAGTAAAATATTTTATTTTACCTTAGTATGTTTTTAATCTCACATTTTATCATGGGAATATTTGATTTGGAATTTTTCAAATAGTCTCTTCCTGCAAGGAAATTCAAAATGCTGGCCCATGTTGCTGTAGTGATTGAGAGTGAGGATGAGGTACACAGCTCATGGCTCAAATTGGAGAAGATGTAACAAGATACCATAAGCAGACTTTTGAGCTATAAAGTTAGAAATTTGAAGAGATCTACACTAAACTAAGAAAAAATCTAGTTTTCCCTCTCATTACTGTCTTACACTTTTAAATTTTTTTAAGTTAAGAAACCAAGAGATCTGAAAATGACACTGTGCTTTTATTTTTTACTAGTTTGGTATACAATACTGTCAACTGTTCTCACTAAATAGACCTCTGTAATCTTAGTGATTTACATGAGTGGCACCAAGTTACATGATTTATAAGGCTTGACACAAAAAGGAAGCATTATGGTGTATAGGAATAAAAGGGATCTGAATCTACAGAAATGTTGTTAATGCACTAATGCATACATTTAATGTATGAACCACAAATCTACTGCTGTGACCAGAACAACTTATACATTGATTCTGAAAAATGTTACTAGTTGCCAGTAAAAGTGAAGGGGGCGTTCCAGTGCCCCAGAACTTCCACCACCATTTCTGAGAAAAAGTATCACAAGAATGGTCAATGGTAGAGCCTCTGCAGCACCAAGCCAAGTACAGCTGCACAGATTGCTGCTGTTTAGTTATGCTTCCAGTACCATTTAATTTCAGAATAAGGGAGGGGGTTGGTGATCCCTAGAAATTCCCAGGCACCTGGCATTGGGAAGTTCCTGCTGTCAAAATTAAAGTGTGCCTTAAACACCCCAAATAAACATCAAACTGCAGCAGGGACTTTAAAAGGCAAGACTGATTAATCAGGGGCTCAAATCCTCTTATCAGACATCTGAAGTCAGTTGAAATATCACTGCAAGAACAATTTAGGGAAGAAAGATACTATGACAAGGCAAGCCACAAATCAATTTCATTGTACCTAAAACTTCACTTGCCCCACCAGTGTGGCTCAGTTGGTTGAGCATCATTCCATGCACCAAGAGGTTGCCAGTTCAATTCCCAGTCCGGGTACATGCCTGGTTGTGCAGGAGGCAGCCGATCAATGTTTCTCTCTCATTGATGTTTCTCTCTCCCTCTTGCCTTCCTGTCTCTCTAAAAAATAATCAATAAAAACATTTAAAAAAAAATTAAAAAAATAAAACTCCATCACTTAGTAACACTATGCTAAAAGATCACGCCCAGAGATTTGTATTTAATATATTTAAGGACAATGGGTAAAACAACAATCTCGAAATCAGAAATAATATAGTATTGCTACAGTGTCTAGTGAAACATTTTTCAGAGTGGCTGGAAGATTACACCAAAAACGACATAAATGAAAATACTGGACTTTGAATGAAGAAGGGGAAAATTAATGAAAGTGACATGCACCAAATAATCGAGAGGTAATCTATATGTAGATATAAAGTCAGGCTAAAGAACTTTCCTGGGCATATACAGTTAATGAGAAAGAGTAGAATCTGAAAAATCTTGATTATGACCTAGTTCTATAACTCTCAGATCTAACTAAATTGTAACATGATCGAATTTGTAAGGATAAAAGTTACTTGTCTGATGTATATATTGATTCCATTGCTATTCCACGTATTCCAGATTAAACTGTCCTAAACAGTCCCAACATCTTAGAGGAACGCAGACATTTCATGTTACCTAACGGAAAAAGGAGAGTAGAGGAAGCAGGGCTTTTTATTAATGGCAATTTTCTTAACAGGAAATTGTATTTCTTCAAAGTACATCATCAAGCAAAGGTCTTGGTGAGGATATCTTCATGCTGCTGCAGGTGAACGGTGCCAATTCCTACAGCAGGTGTTGGCAAAGGTGGTCGGCTCACAAGGCGGAGCTGTCATTGGAGCAGAAAAGAAATAAAATGACACTGTGACCCAATCAGAACTCTGCTTAGTTCACCCAAGCGGGTGCCTGTATTTCTCTTAGCTTGTTTAACATAAATCACCTTTTGGGGGGAAAAATGACTTACATAGAATATATAGTCACAACTAAATAGTAACTAAATTCCAGGCATAATAAGGGAATATAAATTCTCAAATTTGTTCTATTCTTCAGTAACTATTAGTTGGTTAACTAGTAACTGTAGAGTTTCCTAAATTAGTGCTATTTACATTTGAAAATGGTTTGGGCCTAGCCAACTAGTATTAAACGAGTGAACAGAGTTCTAATTTAAACAGAATAGAAAGATAAAACAGAAGCACAATTGCTCTTCTCATTGTTTTCCCCTTCCTACAGCATAATTAAGAAGAATTTGGCCTGTAAGGGATCTCTGCTGTGTGGATGGGTCTGGAACAAGCATCATTGGGTATCACTACTCCCACACTGTAAAATAAGCCTGCTCATCACTCAGCTCACCCATGGCTTGGATGTTGACCTTTAGGACAAGAATGCTGAGTAGGCTAGTGGGAAAGCAGCCAACAGGTAAGGGCTTTTACTTCCTCCGTATAGTCACTTTTTGTTTTTACATGATACTAGTATGTGCACACAGATTGACAAACACTCAGCATTTTATTTTGAAAGAATAGCCTAAAACTAGACTTTACCAGTATATTTTAGTTCATATTTAAAGGAATTGAATTGATAGTAGGGGATGAAACCATTTGTTGGCACTCCAGGAAAAGCAAGCTACAAGAACACTGTGAAAGGCAGAGATAGTACCTTGCAGCCTAGCTGCTTTTCAAACCTTGGAGAAACAAAACACCATGGACCCATGTTCTGAGGCTCCTCCTGACTCCAAATAAAATCTATAAAAGGAGAAAATCCATCTCAGTACCTCAAGTAAACATACACAACATAAACATACATACATACACACACACACTATATGTATATATACACACACATTTTCCCAACATGGCATAGTGTCTTTTTTTTTTTTTTTGACAAATACATAGTAATGTATCCACCAGCACAACCATGATACTGAACAATTCTATCAACCAAAAAATTTCCTCATCTTGTCCCTTTGTACTGAAGTCCTTCTCCTACCCTCAATCTCTGGCAACCACTGATGTTTTCTCTATCCCAACAGTTTTGCCTTTTCCAGAATGTCATTTAAATAAAATCATACAGTATGGGTCTGGCTTCCTTGAATTAGCAAAATCCATTTGTGATTTTGCTGATAGCAATAGTTCATTCTCTTTTACTGTTGAGTAGTATGACCTTGAGTATGGATGTACCACAGATAGTTTCGTCACTCATGGTGGAAGGACATTTTGTTTGTTTCCAGTTTAAGGCAATTATGAATAAAGCTGTTATAAACATTCACATGCAGATATTTCTGGGGACATGTTTTCCATTCTCTTTGGTAAGTAAACACCTAAGAGTGGGACTGTTGGGTGGTATAGTAACTCTGTGTGTAACTGCATAAGAAACTGACAAACTGTGTACCACAATGGCAGAACCAATTTGCATTCCCACCAGCAGTGAGTGAGGGTTACAGCTGCTCCTCATCCTCATCATCACTTGATATTGTCAGTTTGTTGTTTTGTTTTCATTTTAACCATTCAAACCGGTATGTAGCCATATCTCATTTTAACTTAATTTGCATTTCCATTACCACTAATTATGTTGAACATCTTTTCATATAGTTATTTGCCATCTAGTTCTTTGGTAAAGTGCCTGTTCTTTAAAAATTGAATTACATATTTTCTTACTGTTGAGTTTTAAGAGTTCTTTAAACACCCTGGATAGTCCTTTTCCAGATATCTGTCTGCAAATATTTTCTCCCAGTTTGTGGCTTGTCCTTTTATTTTCTTTGCAGAAGTTTTTCATTTTGATAAAGTCCAATTTTTCTTTTATGGAACATGTTTTTGGTGTTACAGCTAAGAACTTTTTGCCCAACTTAAGGTCACAAAGATTTTCTTCTAGAAGTTTTGCAACTTCATATTTTACATTTAGGTCTATAATCAACTTTCATTTAATTTCTGTGTAAGGTGCATCCAATTATTCCAACTCCATTTGTTGAAAGACTTATCTTTTACAATTATAGTTGATTTGTTGTAAATGATAGTGATTCCCTCCAAACTCTCAAGAAATTTGCCATAACCAGTTTGGCTAAGTGGATGGAGCGTCGGCCTGCGGACTGAAGGGTCCCAGGTTCGATTCCGGTCAAGGGCATGGACCTTGGTTGCGGGCACATCCCCAGTGGGGGGTGTGCAGGAGGCAGCTGATCGATGTTTCTCTCTCATTGATGTTTCTAACTCTCTATCCCTCTACCTTCCTCTCTGTAAAAAATCAATAAAATATATTTTAAAAAAAAGAAATTAGATGCCTTAGATGAGAGAAGGGGAGACTGTAAGAAACACCACAAAAGGCATGAAGACACTGGCTCTAGAAGTATTATTTTCATATTTCTAGATTCCATGAGATCCAATCTATATATGTAAAAGCCTAAGCAACCGTCTGACTGTCCAACCGGTAGCTATGACACACAATGACCACCTGGCGGCAGACGCTCCGACTGATAGTTATGACTCACACTGACCACCAGAGGGCAGACGCTCAACACAGGAGCTGTCGGGCTGCAGTGACAGCAGCTGCAGTTCTTGGGTGATACACCCGGAATCAGAAAGAAGGGAGCCTGATTCTGGGTGCGTCACTGGAGAAACACCCTCTCGTAATCTGCAACTTCTCAGGGGATGTTGGAGAGCCGGTTTCAGCCCAATCTCGGCAGGCCAGGGCGAGGGACCCCACCAGTTTTCTAATAACTCTCACTGGCCCCATAACCTCTTTTCATTTGAGATAGTTCAAAGAAAACATTCACATGCAGATATTTCAAATCAAAGAACCCTTTACCTTTAACATGTTTGTATTTGCTCATCTCAAGTTGTAATGAGTCCAACGGGAATGGGCAGAGTTCCTCTATTCGGATAATGGCAAATGCATGTTTCTCGGCCCCCAAAGATTCTCTTTGCTTCAGTAGGGCATAGAAGTGTTTGCCAGAGCAGAACACTAGACTCTTAACACTGTTTGTTAGAAAAGGGACAGTCAGATGAGAGAGAAATACCTCAAAATAAGAAATGTATCAGAAGAAAGGGGAGACCACATAGATTTAAAGGCTTCACTAGTAAAGCAGTGGGGCTCTGTAGTTGGGTGCAGACATATGGGATGCCCTGGCAAGCCTTCTTTAGCAAATGTGCCTCCCAAGTTCACTCTTCCATGCATATTTTAACTCCTACCTCGCTCACTTAAAGGACATATTAAGAAGGAGATTTGGGTTTCTTTGGGTTCCTTAACATGAGCTAGTTCTCCCACCAATTAAAACTCTGAAAACAGAAATACACATCAAATTACTTTTTTGGATCCACAGATGAATCACCAATGACCGGTTTGAATGTTGTTCCTGGTGCCATTTCCTGAAGAGTCGACACAGCTGCCTAAGGAGTAGGGGAAAAGCCGTAAATCTATCAAACAGTTGAAAGGAGCTGAAGATGCTTTTACTTATAAGGGATCTTTTCCAAGAAATAGTATCAAAATTCTCAACTAGGAACATAAGTAAACATATGTACTAATAAATACAATAGCTTTACAGAAGTATTTAATTCTAAATACTTCAGAATAAATTCTTTTCCTGAGGTTAGGTAAGATTGCCTTTTGTCTGGTGCCACAATAAAATTTTAAGAACCAAAGTTTCAGTTTGATCATACAACTTTATTATTAATAAAAAGTCTGCTTTAATTTTTTGGAATTAGAAGCAACATTTTATAGATTTATATTGTGAACCAAAACAGCGAAGCTAAGGCAATTATTTCTCTCTTTAAGTTTCTTATTATACATTTTAAGTGAAACCTATTAGAACACGTAGGAACAAGAAGTGAATATTTCTGTGATTAAAAATTCTTTTATTATGAGCTCAATTTAAATAAATGCTTGTTGCAAAGAACTTAGAGTATAAAACTGAAGAAGCCAAGGTTAGAGATTTGATCCCTTTTGCTATCATTTAGTTACCCTACAGTCTAGTCCCAAATGGGTAGATGGCATTTTGGTAGGCCATTGGGGGAGCCACACTGATGCTGGGATATAACTTAAAAAATTAATATTAACTATTCAGCTAGTCTTATTATTAATTAATGTGATCTTTCTCCATTCTGAACCAGATCCTTCCATCAGTCCTCCTAGGAAGGACTGAACACAAAAGAAGCTGGGATTCAGAGCTGGCAGGGAAACTGGAGTGGGATTTAGGTACCACTTGACAAAAAACTCCCTATAGCCCTGAGGCATGTTTATCAAGTGGCAAGTCATCTCTGAATAGACCATGGAAAGAAAGGGTTGACTTATATTCTGACAGATCATGTGTACCAATAATCAAAATTTCAGGAGGAAATCAGAATTCAATAACGGTTGTACTCATTTTCAATTAATAAAAGAACTTACATGTTTAATGAAGATATTTGACTACTTAATGAGTTTTTCACTTTAAAATCTATAGGATAGCTGTTGATATTTTTTAAGGCTCCCAAATAAGGCCTCTATTATAGGATATCTTACATATTAGACTTGGGGCAAGGAGTAAAATATTAGGGCCAGAATATGAACTCTTGTTCTCAGTTTCAAATAGCAAAAGAGATTCTCAATAAAATTTCTAGTGGTTCACTTAATACTTGGTACTATACATACATTATATTTAATATTATTACATTTGATATTGACTCCCAGAGTCAGAACTAGAGTAAGACAGGTGAGGTGCCTGGAGAGCACAATTTAAGGGGGGTGTTCAGTTCGCTCTAGGATCACACAAGTGCTGACCATGAGAGTATCTCCTTATTCCTCTCCAAATCCTAGGCACTGCTTACAAATGCAACCTGTGAAAGCAAGTCACATGCAACTTTCCTCAATACCCCTCAATTCCAAATCTGCACTCTCAAACCATTGTGCAAAGCACAAGATAGTCCTGAACAGCCAAATCATTAATAACTTATTTCACCTCAGCTGTAGCATCTAAATAAATGCAAGTTTTTTAATGTTCATTCTAATTAAGATTCTCATGTAAAATTGAAAAAAAGTATAGCAGACAGGGTATATATATGCTTATTAGTATTTATTATCTTGAACTCTGCCATTTGAAAACTAGCATATTTGTTATTTAAAAATATATTGTGCACTTAACACTTAGTTCTGGTAAACCAAGAGAAAATGTACACCTTTAAAAATGTATACTTTTAAAGCAGTATACAATAAGCTATACTGTTACGATGTTGTGCTTATTGAAACAGGCCTCTACCTGTGATAAATCATTTAACAGGAAAAATCTAAACAAAAGTCAATGAATAACACCACTTGCTTTCATGAAAATGCTCTAAATTCCCAACTTGCTACTATCAACACAGTAGTGTTTAGACCATTTGGACTTTTAAACTTTTGCTATAAAATTGTTTTCTCTCAGACCAGGATACCAGTATAATATCTGCTATCCTGTCCTGCATTACAATGAAACTGAATATTACCAGTTATTCTTGAAAGGGGAAAGAGAGGGAAAGA